GGGATAAATATGGACTAAATTGTTGTAGCTATCTGCGACCCTATTAAAATTTGATATAAATCATAGTTTTGAGAAATTAACAAATATGTAATATATGACAAAATCTTTATTTATGAACAAAACTCAATGAAATTTTCAACGCTTGTTAAATTTGTCATTTTAAATAAGAAAATGCAAAAAAATTGAAAAGGTCAAAGGGCATCCCGCAATTCCCAAAAATAGGAATGAAAATCCCAAAAATGGGATTTTTTACTTTTTGCCCATAGGGTCCACATTTCTTTCAGGGCTGGGAAAATACTTTTGTAGTAAATATAAAACATATTTAGGTTTCCAAAACTGCTTTCAGTTTTCTGATCCCAGCTTTGAGATTTTAGAACATGTCGCCCAAATTTGAAGTTTTGATAACAAAAAATAGGTCATATTCGGAAGGACGCAGTGGCAACATTTTCAAAAAATAGGACAAGTTTTTTACGCCAAAGCGTTCTGCGTAAAGATACCTTTTAGAAAACTATAAAATTGTTATATGTTCTTAAAGAAAATTTTATTTTATTAATAAAAGAGTTAAGACACATTTTTGGCAAAAAAACGGCAAAAATCTAAAATTTTTTGAATTTTTTAAAAAACGTATATTTTTGGATCTGTAAATGATATTGATCTGAAATTTTTTGTATATTATTGGAAATTTTGTTGTCTAACTAACAAGAAAAATTGAGTCCATTTGGTCCAAAATTACGCCCGGTATTCAAAAAAAGGCGGACCAAGGTATGGTAAATTTTGTATCACTAAATTTTTAAATGCCTATAACTCGGATATTATAAGAGATAAGTAGTATGTCCAAGCATGTTTTTTCAAGATCTCGTCGAGCGCTTTCAGAAAATATAAAAATATTTGGATGAAAAACAAAAAAATTTTCAAATTTTGCACAAATTACTTTAATATTCATCTAAACATTTTGGAGAAAAAAGGGCGGGCTTTTATCTTGGGGGCTTGAAACCCCCACATGAATTTAATAGAAAAATTCGTATATCTGAGAAACTATTAGATGTAGAATCTTTAAATATTACATGAAGTACTTTGACATTAATGTGAACATTTAGGGAATAATTGGCGGACTCTAAATGGGGGACTTGGCACTTCCCATATTAATTAAATACAAAATTCATTTATCTGGGAAACTAATAGAACTAGATTCTTCAAATTTTGCATAAATTACTTTAATATTCAACTGAACATTTTGGGGGAAAACGAGCGGACTTTCATGTGCGGGGCGTGGAGCCCCCATATGAATTAATTAGAAAAAATCGTATATCTTAGAAACTATTAGAGCTAGAATCTTCAAATTTTACTTGAAAAACTTTGACATTCATCTGAACAATTAGAGTATAACGGGCGGACTTTCAATGGGGAACTTGACAACTCCCATATGACTTAAATATAAAATTTCGTTTATCTAGGAAACTAATAGAACTAGATTCTTCAAATTTTGCAGAAATTACTTCAATAATCATCTGAATATTTTGGAGGAAAAAGATCGGACTTTCATCTGGGGAGCTTGAAGCCCCCACATGAATGAAACAGAATAATTGTATATCTGGAAACTACTAGAGCTAGAATCTTAAAATTTTACATAAAAAAACTCTGACATTCATGTGAACATTTAGAGAATAACGGGCGAGCTTTCAATTGGGGGCTTGGCACTACATAAATGAATTAAATACAAAACTTCGTATATCTTGGAAACTATTTTATTATTCAAATTTTTCATAGATAGATAGAAATTGGCGAACTTTCAGTAATTTGCTTGGCATCTCTAATATGTAACATATTGTAAATCTAGAGAACTATTGCAGTTAGAATCTTGAAAATCGTTAAGTGGGTTTTTTATTTATACTGCTTTTAGGGTAGCAATGCACACTGGGTAAAGCTAGTAAATTATAAAAAGTATTTTTAAACAATTTCTTTAAATTCTTCTAATTTTCCTTTACTGTTTATAAGTTATATAAAGTTGTCATTGATAATAAAAGAAAATGTCAGTGACAAAATAAAATTGAACAAAGCAAAATTTTATAATTAACATAAAAGTAAAAATTTATTATCAAAATAACGGTAGGTTAGTGGTTAGTGTTCTAGTCTGGTAGCCCGGAGGTGGTGGGTTCGATTCCCACCTGAGGCACTGGTTAAGGAGCGCACAACAGGCCCAATAGAGGCCTAGGTGTATTTCTTCGGATTTAATGTATACACATTCTCCTTTCAAACTAACTAACTAACTAATATAATTGATATTTATAAATATTTAATACATGCATAAATAGATATTTGTATTCATATAAATAAAATAAGTAAACAATACAATTGTCATGTCGTTTTTATCAAACGTTTGATAGGTATGCTTTAAGCATAAACTATTTTTAAATATTAAACAAATTAAAAATTATTTGCAAATATAGAAAAATTATTCATAGAAAATTAAGTAACAATCAATATTTGTCGAAATATTATATAAGTGCTTTTGAATAATCGTCCAAACTAACAAATATACTTTTGGATACTCTAAATTAAATACAAACAAGTAAGAGTGCTATATTCGGCTGAGCCGAATCTTAAATACCCTCCACCAGCTACTTTTATATTAATACTTTTTTAATTGATCAAATATTTTTAGAAATAAGATTTCTCATGTCTTAAATAGAAAAACCCCAAGATTTAAACAGCTTAAATCTGTTACAATTGCAAGATTTATTGAACATTACAAACACAATTTTTTTATATTTTTAAAGCGCTATAAGATATGCATTAGCGATATTTAATAATTTGTCTGAAAGACTTAAGGAAATACAAATTTTCGGGGCAGGACCTAGTATGGGGATATGACCAAATATGGACCGATCGTAAAAAAATCTTTAAGTAACATTTCTGTATATAGAAGCTATATTTCAGTCAAATTTTGTATCTATATCGTAATTTCGGAAGGGAACTTTGTATGGGACCGATCGCACCCATATTATGAAGCGATCGTGAAAAAATCTTAACTAATATTTGTGCAAAATTTTGTATCAATAGCTTTATTTGGTAATGATAATCGAGAACAATACTTGTACCAAATTTTATATCGATATCTTAATTAAGTAATGAGTGATGTGCGTTTAAGCGATTTTCGGGAGGGGACCTTGTATGGGAGCTATGACCAATTATGGACCGATCTGAACAAAATTTCACGGTAATATTTCTGTATATAATAGCAATACTTGTAGCATTTAAGTGATTTTCGGGAGGGGACTTTGTATGGGAGATATGTCCATTTATCAATCGATCCAGAAAATTTTTTCTCTATATTCATCTGAGACCCTACAAAGTATACATATTCTTGGTCCTTAAGAAATTCTGAGTCGATTTAGATGTGTCCGTCTGTCTGTATAAAACACGCTCACGTTAAGACGAAGCAACGGAACTTTATGAAATTCACCCAAAATATTCATTAGTATCCTAAGCACATTTTCTTTGTACATTTTTTTTACGATCGGTCCACAATTGGTCATAACTTATTACCAAATAAAGATATATACAGAAATGATACTGTAAAATTTGTTTACGATCGGTCCTTAATTGGTCGTAGCTCCCATACAGGTCCCCTTTCGAGAATCACTTAAACGCATAAAACACATTACGAAATAAGATATTCATACAAAATTTGGCACAAATATTGCTTTATCTACAGAAATCTTATTATAATTTTTTTCACGATCGGTCCATAATTGGTCATAGCTCCCATTTAAGGTCCCCTTTCGAGAATCACTAAAACGCATATTACTAATTACCAAATAATGATATCCATAAAAAATTTGGCACAAATATTTATTGTTGAATTTTGTCATACATATAGTTTAGGAATCCACTGAGTTGAAAATCGAAATCAGTCCACAATCTCTTGTACAACCCATTGGGATTAAAAAATTTAATATTTTTCGCAAAAATTAAATAAAAACTGTCCAAAACGAATAGGATTCGAACTAAAAATCTCCCAGTTGCTAGTTTTACGCCATTCCCTCTACACTATTAACTAGCTTCGTAATTGCTTGCAACTAATGTTCACATAGAAATTATCTTTCATGTTTGTGTAAAAAATGTGCACATTGAGAAAGTGTAACTGTTTAATTGCTTATTGTTACTACGGGTTAGAAAGGGTAGGGTATAGATTAATCTTAAGTAGCATGTAAGTAAATAAAACGCTTTTCTTTTTCTTTTCACAAACGTTATAAATTCATATGTTTATTGAACTCTAACGGGTAAGTATTTAATATATAGGGTAAGTATTTAATATATAGGGTAAGTATTTAATATATAGGGTAAGTATTTAATGTATTTATTTTATTTTCAATTCTTTTTAGGCTTAAGGGTTTTAATTTAGGTTTAGGGTTTTATTATATTGTTTCATGTTTTTAACTGTGATATTCACTGTGATAATTAAGAATTTTATTTTAGGGTTTTACTATTTATTCTTAGGTTTAGGGTTTTAACACAGGTTATATATTTTACCACTAGTTTTAAGTTTTAGCACTAGGTTTAGGTTTTGTAATTTATGTATTTAAAAGACACTTTGAGTTCTCACTGTCTGTTGTAGGGGTTGTTGTTTTACTTGTTTTATTTTAGCGCTCACACACTTGTTACTTGCAAAATTATATTTGAAGTGAAGATAATAAAGCGGCAGCTAGCTTTAGTGTGCCTAAGCTGAAGTTGGCTGCAGTTGAGAGGTGGGTGTTGTTTGACATCAGGGATGGGTGTTTTGTTCATTGAAATGAACATCCTCCCGGGCCTGGCAACCTGTGAAGAAAAAGAACAATTATTTTCATTTGTTCAACATTGGGTTAGAGAAAGTGAGGGTAATTTATAGTAAAATACTTTATTATATTTTTAATTGGTAAGGGATCCCATAACTAGCCAACCCAGGGTTGAATCCTGGGCTATCAGTGAGCCGCCATCAATATGGATCGTGTTAGGCTGTAAAATGGTGGTATACAAATCACCACCTATTTCCATGGCTAGGGTGCATTGGCATAAAATTCTGGGTCGGCCAGAGAAATTCGGCAGAACTTCCCTTTTATAGCTGGGTCCAAACCATGAGCGTAAGGGTTTCTTGGCAGGTCATTTGAAACCTGCATGCACACCTCATATTGTATTGTGGAGGCCATATTAGGTGATATTATGACCTTCACGTAAACACTTTCATCCACTTTAAAAGGGTTTAGTGTTGATTCGCGCACAAACGCTACGCCTATTTTTGAGGTCGTTAGGCTCGGGTTTAAGACAGCTCTAACGAGTTGTTTCGATTTGTCTGTCACAACCTGAACTACAACCGTAGGTACAATGGTTTGGGTTCGGGACGTTGGCAAAGTGGTTGCTACAATTGGCATCACAATAGTTCGTGGCGCAGGAATCGGAGCAATAGTCCTTTTTGCTACGGGCGGTGGAGACTGTTCCTTTGGCAAATCTTTCAGGATCCGATCTGGGCCGTGCAGGGTGGTGTGATGTTTACCCTTGCACTTTTGGCATCGGGATTTATTTGAACATTTTCCGATTAGGTGATTCCTGGCCAGACAATTGACGCAGTAATGCAATTTAACTGCGGTTTTGTACTTCTCCGCCAAGTTCATCTTTTTAAACTTTTTACAGTTTGTTAAGCTGTGATCAGCTTGACAAATACCGCAACCAAAGTGGCGTTTTGGTTGACGCTTATCGTTTTTGCGTTGGTTGGTTTTGGGTCGAGATCCATTGCGGTCGGAACGGTTGGAACGTCCTTTACGATTGTTGTTGTTGGGTGCCATATTCTGTATAAAAGAAATTATGTGTGAATGAATGAAGGGTAATGAATGTGTTAGTGGGTTAGAGTATGAGGGTGAAGAGTTAGTGATGACTAGTAGTTACAAGTGGATAAGTGTGTTAAATGGGTTAAAAGGGGTAAGTAAACAACTTAATGTTATTTGGGTTATACTAGAAGGTTAAACTAGCTAGTGGGTAAAATGACAACTTTTGTTATTGGTCGAGTTAACGTTCCGGATGACGTCCGTATATCGACTACTCTGTTTTGTCCATCAGGGCCAGTGTATGTTTTAATGACTCGACCGAGTAACCATTCGTTTGGAGGTAAATTGTCCTGTCTGATAATAACAATGTCATCTGTTTCAACTTGACGTTGAGGGTTTTTCCACTTGTATCTCTTATGGAGCTCTTTAAGATATTCATCTTTCCATCTTCTACAAAAGTTATGATGTTGAATCTTTAACTTTTGCCATCTGTTTGCCAGGGTTATATTTTCATTGCTTACATCGGGTTCTGCTGGGGTTAAAATGGGTGATCCAATTAAAAAGTGTCCTGGAGTTAAAGGGTTAAGATCCTGTGGGTTCTCGCTTGACGGGCTTAAGGGTCTTGAATTCAGGCATCCTTCTATTCTCGCGAGGAGTGTAGCTAGCTCTTCAAAAGTGTACTTCAGGGTATTCATTTTCTTTAGATGAGCCTTAAAGCTTTTCACTCCCGCTTCCCATAAACCACCCATGTGTGGTGCTCCTGGGGGTATGAAATGCCACGTCAAATTTTGAAAACTGCTAGTGGATGTAATGGAACCTTTCAATTGCTTGATGAATTCTTGTCGCTCTTTCTTCAATAGCTTGCTAGCTCCGATGAAATTTGTCCCATTGTCAGAGTAAATAGCGACAGGGCATCCCCGCCTCGAAAAAAATCGAGCAAAGGCTGCCATAAAGGCTTGGGTAGACAAATCAGATGTTGGCTCCAAGTGAATAGCTTTTGTTGCAAAGCAAACAAAAACGCATACGTAACCTTTTGTTATTCTACATGCTCTGCCATTATATATTTTAATGTCGAATGGTCCTGCAAAATCAACTCCAACATTTGTGAATGGTTTATTTATTTGGGTACGTTCGGGTGGTAATGCTGCCATAAATTGGGTAGTTTGTCTATTCTTGTATCTAGTACACGGTGAGCATTTGTTAATTACCGCGCTAATCAGATTTTTCAGTTTTGGGATCCAGTATCCTGAACGTATTACTCTCAACATAAGTTGATTTCCTCCGTGAAGTGTTATCAGGTGCACGTGTTGGGTTAATAATTTAGCAAATGAACTGCCGTAGGGTAATAAAACCGGATGCCTTTCAGAATATGACAAACCGTTGGAATTTGCTAGTCGACCATTTGCCCGCATTATATTTGCGGAATCTAAAAATGGCGTTAGGGTGAGCAGGTTACTTTTATTGGGTATAGGGTTTCTTTTCTTCAGACAGTTATATTCGTTTCTAAAATATTCAGTCTGACAAAGAATAATTAGTCTATCACGGGTAGATTTGATCTCTGACGCATCCAGTTCAATACTTGGGTGGGTAGTTAATAAACGTAGTCTTTCTTTGACTAGTTTTGGGTTATTTTGATCAAGAATAATTCTATCATTTCGAATAGTATTGTTCCGTTTATACGATGCGCGATCACAAAATCGATAGACATATGTCATTACTCTTAGAGCTTTTGACAATTTCGAAAATCTTGATAATATATCTGGGTTTTCTGTATTCGTATTAACCAAGGAAGGGTGGGTATTAACGGTCGTAGTAAACGACTGACTAACTTTAGCTTCAGCTTGAGTAATGAAGTGTTTATTTGTTGTTGGCCACTTCGACGCGACTTCTTTCAACCACGATGGTCCATTCCACCATAAAGTGTCATCCTTTAACTCATCAGCATTACATCCTCGGCTAGCAACATCGGCAGGATTATCGTGTGAAGCAACATGGTTCCAATTTTCAACGCCGACAGTCTGGATTATTGTAGAAACTCGGTTTGCTACAAATGTGTTCCACGAGTTAGGGTGTTTACTAAGCCAGGCCAAAACTATAGATGAGTCGGTCCAGAAATACGTCTGATGTAAGGGTAGGTTGAGTTGGGTGAGTAAATTATGTGTCATATTTGCCAACAACACTGCACCACAAAGTTCAAGTTTTGGTAACGAGATTACTTTGATTGGCGCAACTCTCGTCTTAGCGAAGAGTAGGGTTACGGAATTAGGTCCGTCTATGGGTGTTACTCGTGCATACAGACATGCCGAGTATGCTTTTTCAGAAGCATCTGAAAAACCATGAAACTCAATTTTTGCTGAAGGTGAAAAGTTAATCCATCTTGGAATATGAATTCTATTAATATTATCGTAGAACTGCAAAAACTTTTGCCATTTTATAAGGGTGAGTGGGTTAAGACATTCATCCCAAGCTGTATTATCTTGCCAAATTTGCTGCATAATAATCTTGGCAGATATAACAATTGGCGCTAACCAACCAGCTGGGTCAAAAAGACGAGCAATGTCTGATAACACAGTTCGCTTGGTGTATGCTGATTTTCTTTCAATTAAGGGTACATTAAAGAAAAACGTATCTTCTTTAGCATTCCATCGGATTCCTAATGTTTTGGCATTATTCGATTCTGGAAGGTTGAGTAAATCCACATCAAGTAGGTGATCTTCGGGTAAATCTTTCAACAATTCCCTCGTATTTGAGATCCATTTTCTTAAAGGAAAACCAGCAGAGTCAAGCGCCGCGATCAGTTGGGTTTGACCTTCTTTAGCTTCTTCAATGGTGTGACCTCCGGCTAATACATCGTCTACATACATATTATTTCGCAGTGTTTGCGAAGCGATAGGGTGGGTATTTTGAATGTCTTTGGCTAATTCGTGTAGTGTTCTAATAGCCAAGTATGGCGCACAGTTAACACCAAATGTAACTGTTTGCAGTTCATAATCTTGAATGGGTTCGTTGACGCTTTTACGGAATAATATTCGTTGGAAGGGTGTATGGATAGGGTTTAGCATAATTTGCCGGTACATTTTTGTAATGTCGGCATTATAAACTATCTTATAAAAGCGCCATTTCAAGATAAGTACAACTAAATCTTGTTGTAGGGTAGGACCAGTGTATAGGGTATCATTAAGACTGTTGCCGTTCGAGGTTTTGCTAGATGCATTAAATACAACTCGAACTTTTGTCGTAACACGATCAAGTTTAACAACAGCGTGATGGGGTAAATAATAATGGGTGTTTGAAGGAGTGTTTGGGTTATATTTTATATGTTTCATATGACCTAATTCGATATACTCTTGTAGCACGTTATCATATTCCATTTTAAGCTCTGGCTTTTTCATTAAACTTTTCTCGTTTCGTAGAAATTGAGCCATAGCAACGTGTCTAGAGTTTCCTAACTCAACAGGAGGGTATATAAATGGAAGGTTAACTTGATAACGGCCATTCGGTAATCGACGGGTAGTGGTCATGAAAGTTTCTTCACATAAAGAACTTTCCTCTGAAACTTTGGGTTGGGTGGATATATCTTCAATCTCCCAGAATTTGGTCAAAACTTTATCAAGCGTGACTGAACTGAAGTATGAAACTAAGGGTTGAGTATTGTTTGTGTTCTGAATGGGTCCGGTTAAAATCCAGCCAAACTCAGTTTCCTGAGCTATTAGGGTATTGAGAAGATCTTTCCGTACTCCAGATTTCAATATTTGAGGGTAAAAATCGCTGCCAATTATAAAGTCTATAGGTCTGCTTTCATAGAACTTTTGGTCAGCTAATTGAATATCTTCCAAGTCTTTTATTAGGGTTGGGTTTAAACTTTGGGTGGGTAAATTTTTTGTAAGTGTTTTCACTACAATTGCTTGGATATTCAATTTGAAATTATTATGGGTATTCGAGCGTAGAGAAACTTGACACAGTTTAGTTGATCTTGCAGAAACTATCTCATTTAATCCAGAAATTTCTGCAACTATGGGTGTAGTGGGTAAATGTAACTTTCTTCTTAGTTTATCTGTTATAAATGAGAAATCTGAAGCTGGGTCAATAAGCGCTCTAGCTGGAAACAATTCACCTTGGACTTCTACATTCAGAACTGCTGTTCCTAATAACTTCGTTCTGTCATCAATGGGTGTGGGTTTGCTTGATTGGGTGTGGGTTGAGAAAGACTGAACTGTATTTGACGATGAAGATGCCTGATTATCTTCATTATGTGGGTTTATCCTCGAATTTGGTCGGTGCAATAGACTATTATGTCGTCCACCGCAATATCTACATATGAATGTACTGCGACAAGCTTGTATGACATGACCGACGGCTAAACAATTGTAACATATTTCATGTTTCTTTACAAACTCAATTCTCTCGTTTATTCCAAGAGAATTGAATGACGAACATTCCCTCAAAGTATGGTTTTCGCTGCAAAGCTTGCAAATAGAACCATCATGTTTAATTTGGGTGCTTGGGTTGTTTGGTTGGGTTGGAAGGGGGAATTTTTGTTCGGTTTTACGTTTGTTTTGGGTGGGTGGGTTGTGGGTGGGTGGGTTTTTTATGGGTTTTGGTTGATTTTTTGGGTTTTTCCCATTCGAATCATTTGTTACGTTATGAAATGTTTTGCCTTTTCTGTCATATTGTGTTCTAACATCTTGGAATTGTTTGGGTTTAGGGTGGGTATGGTTAATACTATGGTCCTGGACATCATTAACCGAAGTTAGTTCTTTAAATGTGTTAGTTAAAAATACATCTAAGTCAGTCCAAGAAGGCATCTCTGCACAATCTGGAAGAGATTTCTCAAATTCTCTTCGGGTTTCTCTGGGTAATTTCGATGTGCATAAATATACTAAGATAGGATCCCACTGATCCGTATCTATGTCTAAAGAGTTCAGATTTGCAATACAACAATTTATCTTTCTCTGAAGCTTTCTTATAGAAGCACTACACATGGTGCTTACTAAGGGTAAATTCAATAGGGTTTTTAATTGCGCGTTAATTTGCATCCTACGATTCTCATACTGAGAAGCTAATTGATTCCACGCAATAAGAAAGCCATCATTTGTTAAGGGTGCATTGTCTACTATTTCTTTGGCTTCGCCGCTTGTTTTTTGTTTAAGATGGAAAAGTTTTTCAACTCCACTTAAACGGGTATTATTGCCATAAATGGCCTTGAAAAGATCCCTAAACGAAGCCCAGCTTTTGAAATCTCCGCTGAACGTTGGCATATCACAAGGGGGTACAGTGAAACCTGCAGAACTGCTGGGTTGTGGGGGTTCGGGTAAAGATGGTCGGGTTTCATTTTCCTTCGTAATCTCCTCAATAGATTCGTCAATCGAGATCATACTTGACCTATAAAATCCTTTAGCAGATCTGACTTGCCTAACAACTTCGCTTAAATTTATGGCTTCAGCTTTCTTCGGATCCAGAATATCGGCAGATTCTCTAATTTGGGTGAATTTACGGTCAATTTTAGCCCATAATTCACTTAATTCCCGTTTTTGGAATTTAAGAGCGGGTAGAGATCGGAAACTTTCCGGGGTAGCGCGATAATCTTCATCAAACGACTTTAAATCCGTTTGGATATATCTTAACAAATCGGCGGCCACAGACTCTAGGGTAGACATGTTGGGTTTTCGGAAAAAAAATTCACAAAAGGAGAATTCTCAAAAAATATATATTTCTATAAAGAAATTTTTTTTTTTTCTTTTTTTTTTTTTTTAAAAAAATTGAAAAAAGTGTGAGTTTTTTGCTTTAGCTGTTCCAAAAAATTACTTTTGTTCCAGCTGACAAAATTTCCAATTGGGTATTAAATCGTTAATGTGTGCGCTAATTAACTTAATATGCAATATAAGTTCCTTAGAAGCAATATAAAAAATATTTTAAACTTTTTTATATAAAGGGTTAAATATTTTGAAAGGGTTTGGGTGGGTTTAAAATGAACAATATTTTATATTATATTGCTGAAGAGTAATGGAACAAATTTGCAAAAGAAATTGGAAATAAAAAATTTTGTATAAATAGCAAAAATTTCGACTCACCTTTTTTGCTGGGGGTAGGGTACAAACCACAATAATATAAAAAATAATAATAAAAAAAATTCCTTGTGTTGTCGATTCCTCTTTGTGTCGTCTTCCCGCTATGATGCGTGTTGATAATATGGGTAGTGTTGTTGTTGTAATTGTCGACGGTCACTGTATGTACTTTTTGTGTATATATTTTAATGTGGTTTTTTATATTTGGATAATTTTGTAATATTTTGTTATTATGTTTTGTGTTAATAATTTTTGTTCAATATAAATGTAAGTATGTAAATTTATGTATATAAATAAGGGTTAATTTGTATTTTTTGGGTATTGTTTTTTGTTCACAATTTTTGTTTAAATATTTTAATAATGTTGTGTTGTATTTTTGTGCACTTTTTTGTTGTTTTTCTTGTGTGTTATTATTTAATTTATTTGTAAACAATAATTGTTTTTTATTAAATTGCCTTTATTTATTTGTTGTTTTAAAACTTTTAATATTTTAACGCACAAATTTTCTTTGTTTCTTTTTGTATTGTTTATTTTCGTTAGCACTTTTTATTTATGTTTAGCGTAATTTGTTTTCTAGTTTGTAGGGTACTATTTATTAATTTATTTATATTGTGAACTTTTATATGTTATTTATTATTTATTCTTTTTAATTTGTGGACTGTATCACTGTTTCACTTCACTTTTTAACGGTTCGTGAGGACCAATGTTACTACGGGTTAGAAAGGGTAGGGTATAGATTAATCTTAAGTAGCATGTAAGTAAATAAAACGCTTTTCTTTTTCTTTTCACAAACGTTATAAATTCATATGTTTATTGAACTCTAACGGGTAAGTATTTAATATATAGGGTAAGTATTTAATATATAGGGTAAGTATTTAATATATAGGGTAAGTATTTAATGTATTTATTTTATTTTCAATTCTTTTTAGGCTTAAGGGTTTTAATTTAGGTTTAGGGTTTTATTATATTGTTTCATGTTTTTAACTGTGATATTCACTGTGATAATTAAGAATTTTATTTTAGGGTTTTACTATTTATTCTTAGGTTTAGGGTTTTAACACAGGTTATATATTTTACCACTAGTTTTAAGTTTTAGCACTAGGTTTAGGTTTTGTAATTTATGTATTTAAAAGACACTTTGAGTTCTCACTGTCTGTTGTAGGGGTTGTTGTTTTACTTGTTTTGTTTTAGCGCTCACACACTTGTTACTTGCAAAATTATATTTGAAGTGAAGATAATAAAGCGGCAGCTAGCTTTAGTGTGCCTAAGCTGAAGTTGGCTGCAGTTGAGAGGTGGGTGTTGTTTGACATCAGGGATGGGTGTTTTGTTCATTGAAATGAACACTTATGCTATTCAACAACCAGAGAACGGTTTGAATGCTTATTTTTTCGAATATGAATACAATCGCATAAAACGAGCCTTGAAATGACAATATGCACTAATTTAATAATGCAATGCACGGCACTATTCAAAACAAATGAGTGTAACGAAAAATGATGCTTGTATTGCTTGTCTTCTGTAAATGTAAACGAATACTCTCAAAAACAACGAATACTAAACGATTGGTATTAATGGTTTCAATGCTTATTGAATAAGTTGTAAGAAAAAACAAGTTAGAGTGCTATATTCGGCTATGCCGAATCTTAAATACCCTCCACCAGCAAGCTACTTTTTATTGAAACCCATTTAACTATCTAATTTTTAGATAACTTGGCAAAATTTTTGTTTCCTTATTGAGGGTAATAACATTTATTATTAACTAATTTTAATTAGGTCGAGAAAATGTATATTAATAGGCCACTTTGAAAACATTTTAATGAAATGATTTATCTGTACACAGAACATACTCATTTTGAATTTTATCCGGATATAATCATTTAATTACGAATTAAGTGGTATTAAGTGATTTTCAGATGTATACCTTATATGGGAGCTAAGACAACCTATGGACCGATCCAGAAGAAAAAATCCGTAGAATGATTTATATATACAAATACACATTTATGTCGAATTTTATCCCGATAACTTGGATTGTTAATGTGCATTTGAGTAATTTTGGTAAATGGTCCTTATATGGGAGTTGTGACTAATTATCAACCGATAAGGAAAAAATTTCGTATAATGATTTATATGCCAAAAAAAATTCAAGTCGAATTTTACTACAATAGATTTATTAATTAATGAAATATGTGCGTTTAGGTGATTTTCGGATGTGGACTTTATATGTATAGGAGCTATGTCCTTACTACACAAAACATATTTGTGTCGAATTTTATCAAGATATCTTTATTTGATAATTAAATATGTGCGTTTAAGTGATTTTTTTGAAGGAGCTATTACCATATATGGAACAATCCGGAAAAAATTTGGTAGAATGATTTATATGCTCACAAAACATATTCAAGTCGTACTTTATCCAGATAGCTTTATTATTCAAAGAAATATGTGCGTTTAAGTGATTTTCGTAAGTGGACCCTCTACGGGAGCCTATCCGGAAAAAATTTCGTAGAGTGATTCATATAAAGACAAAACCTATTTGTGTCGAATTTTATCAAGATAACTTCATTTGACAATGAAATATGTGCGTTTAAGTAATTTTCGGAAGTGGGACTTATATAGGAGCTATTACCAATAATGAACCGATCTGGGGAAAAAGTGGTAGAATGATTTATATGTACACAAAACATATTCAAGTCCAATTTTATCCTTATATGAAAAATCCCATTTTTGGGATTTTCATTCCTATTTTTGGGAATTGCGGGATGCCCTTTGACCTTTTCAATTTTTTTTTTTGCATTTTCTTATTTGAAATGACAAATTTAACAAGCGTTGAATTTCATTGAGTTTTGTTCATAAATAAAGATTTTGTCATATATTACATATTTGTTTAATTTCTAAAACTATGATTTATATCAAAATTTTAATAGGGTCCCAGATAGCTACAACAATTTAGTCCATATTTATCCCTTAATATCATTTTTAGTTAGATATGGAAATTCTCGACCCTTTACAAAAAATTTCAAGCCAATATCTCAATTACATTCAAAAATATGTTCATTTAAACCTGTGTCCTTTAATTTCATCTTTTTCATATTTTAGTATTAAGTATGACAGAACATACATTTGGTGTTGAATAAAATATTTGGACAATTTTTAAAAATTATTTAGTTAATTATTTTATTAAAGACTATAACATTGTATATACAATAAAAAAAATTATAATTTTATTATGAGCCACGCACAACAACACCTAAATCACCCCACACAAACCACCTTTCCCGCCCACCGAAATATAAAACACAATTTAATACAATATCATCAGTTAGTATAATAGCTTTTTTTATTTGAACTGTTTATCTTAAACATAATACAATTAATTCTTACAACCTACTTATATAGTTAATTCCTAACACTACTTATTTTCTATAAAATAATCTGTCATATCGGTATACATATCCAGAAGGTATATAAGTCCTTTAAATCTTCCTTGTTTTGAGATGATAGAGTTTTTCGCATAGTTGAAAGAACAGGATCAGAAGATAGAAGTAAACTATTAAAAATATCTTCATTCTGTGATTGCCTGGAGCATTTTCTTGAGCTGAATAGTTGAACATGCTTAAAATCTCGATTCCTCGCTTCCTGGGCTTCTTTTGTTATCTCTCCAAGTGGAAGAATATTCGATTCAATTATTATTTGACCATGACACAATACTTTGTGTACTGTTGGTGTTAGTTCCCTCCATGGATACAGAGATACAAGTAATTTAGAAATAATACTTAATACTTCTGCTTTTGTTTATATTTGAGAATTGCGACTTTTTCTCATTACATATTGAGCATCTCCAGGAGGAAGAAGTTTCTGTTATTGCATTGCTGACCTTTCCATCAATCATTGTTAAGCTTAGCTGATATGATACGTTAATAGAGAATTCCTTTATTTTTATGCAAATGGGCTCCAGTGCATTTATTTCATCTTTTAAATATTCCACTAAATCTTTTGTTGTTTTCTTTGACTCCTTTATATATTCAAATCCAATGGGTCTACAAAAATTTTTTGAACCCGGAGTTGTATTGATCCATATATCTTCAAATGAATTTCCGATGCTTGACGATGATGGATTAAGGGAATATGAACGAATTCGTAATGGCACTAATGATGACATAAATACACTTTTGTAGTCTGCTAATGTCCGACTTCCACAAGCTTGTTTGTATTCTGGAAGTGCTGATAAACCGTCACATCCCCACTTACACATTAAGACAACATCACAGTTATGAATTTTCCTTAGTTGGTCTTCTGAAAAGTCTGACACAATTCTTGATACTGTGTTTTCGAGCAAAGATGATATATCAATACAAGCTTCCACATCATTAACAGCAATGGGTGATGGTAGGATAGTTTGTTTTTTTTCCTGGATCGCCTTGTATGATTTGGTACTTATTTCGACTGAGACCCAGTTCCAACATAAGCGCTATTGCTTCCTCTTCAGTAAAATTTGATTGTGATGTTGGAGTTGGTATACTTTCCACAATTCGCTTAAGTCGTTTTGGTGATGAATTAGGAAGAATAGTTGCAATATGTACGGCATCCATAGGTTGGTTTTCCTTTTTCAGCATTTCGTTAAATGTATCAGCAATTTCCTCATTTGAGATTGACCTTGAACATAAGTCTTCGTATGACTTGCAAGGCGCTCCTGTTGATGTGTTGTAAGTTGAGATTTCCGTAGTAGTTTCCATCCAACTACAAAATTTTAATCGAAATTTCTTTTGATTTCCATTCACAGACTTACTTTTTACATCAAAAAGTTTTCAATTTTTGATATGCCTGTTTTGTCTACTTTTCTACTATATGTAGTTTTTATATAATTTGAAATGTCTTCAATTCTTTCAGGCCTTTTGAAGATACACTCCATAAAACGGAACACAACTCTTCGTACTTTAATGTTATCTTCATTGTAGATTTATTAAATATGGTACTTAAAATCTGAGATGTTTACTTATATACCAATTCTTGTCATTTCCGATACAGGTATTCCAAAGTAAAAAATTACAAATTGTCTACCTATTAATATTTAGGACTATAGTAATATAGTAAGTAGTAACCTGTAATTCAGTCATTGATATTTCTTATTAGTGAATGAATCGAAATTATCATTACCTGTATATTTTTACCTACATGATCATAAACGAAACAGAACGAAATGATCTGTCGGAAAAATTTAGGTAAAAAATAGTTATAAATTTCTGAAAATTTAAGCATAATAGGACCTTTCAATTATAAGGATAAGCAAACAAATAGAAAATAGGTAAATATAAGATTTAAATATGTTCTGTCATATTTAATACTAAAATATTAAAAATATGAAATTAAAGGATACAGGTTTAAATGAACATATTTTTGAATGTAATTGAGATATTGGCTTGAAAATTTTTGTAAAGAATCGAGAATTTCCATATCTAACTAAAAAAATAAGGGATAAATATGGACTAAATTGTTGTAGCTATCTGCGACCCTATTAAAATTTTGATATAAATCATAGTTTTAGAAATTAAACAAATATGTAATATATGACAAAATCTTTATTTATGAACAAAACTCAATGAAATTTTCAACGCTTGTTAAATTTGTCATTTTAAATAAGAAAATGCAAAAAAATTGAAAAGGTCAAAGGGCATCCCGCAATTCCCAAAAATAGGAATGAAAATCCCAAAAATGGGATTTTTTACTTTTTTGCCCATAGGGTCCACATTTCTTTCAGGGCTGGGAAAATACTTTTGTAGTAAATATAAAACATATTTAGGTTTCCAAAACTGCTTTCAGTTTTCTGATCCCAGCTTTGAGATTTTAGAACATGTCGCCCAAATTTGAAGTTTTGATAAAAAAAAATAGGTCATATTCGGAAGGACGCAGTGGCAACATTTTCAAAAAATAGGACAAGTTTTTTACGCCAAAGCGTTCTGCGTAAAGATACCTTTTAGAAAACTATAAAATTGTTATATGTTCTTAAAGAAAATTTTATTTTATTAATAAAAGAGTTAAGACACATTTTTGGCAAAAAAACGGCAAAAATCTAAAATTTTTTGAATTTTTTAAAAAACGTATATTTTTGGATCTGTAAATGATATTGATCTGAAATTTTTTGTATATTATTGGAAATTTTGTTGTCTAACTAACAAGAAAAATTGAGTCCATTTGGTCCAAAATTACGCCCGGTATTCAAAAAAAGGCGGACCAAGGTATGGTAAATTTTGTATCACTAAATTTTTAAATGCCTATAACTCGGATATTATAAGAGATAAGTAGTATGTCCAAGCATGTTTTTTCAAGATCTCGTCGAGCGCTTTCAGAAAATATAAAAATATTTGGATGAAAAACAAAAAAATTTTCAAATTTTGCACAAATTACTTTAATATTCATCTAAACATTTTGGAGAAAAAAGGGCGGGCTTTTATCTTGGGGGCTTGAAACCCCC